TATATATATGTGTGTGTGTGTGAATTATATATAAATGAATTCACAAATATATATAATTAAAATTAAAATTAAATATACTTTATTAAATTAAATTTTTATTTTTAACTTTTATATATATGTGAATTGAATATAATCTTATTAAACTTAATTTAATCATATTTTTAATTTATTATTATATCAATTAGGTTTAATGGGTGGGTTTGAGATTTATTTTTTTTAACTTATGATTGGCTTGAGAAAATTTTGAGGTCCAAAATTTCGAACGGAGTTGGGTTTGGACAAGTATATAGCTATTAATGCCAAATATGAGCTTGGTCAAACTTGGTTTAGCCCATAAATACATCTAGTATAAAGTTTCAAAATAGCAATTAGGTATTTGAATTCTACTTCATTAAATTACACTAACTCTAGATCCATTTAGACTGGTGGTGAAAATAAAAATAGTGATGATAATGAGATTAATTATTATAATGGTGAGAATAAATATTGATAGCAGTGATATTAACATAAATGGTATAAATTTACATTTAGATGCAAATACAACGGTGGCGATGATATGAATTATAATAAAAAAAATATTAAAGATATTTGATTAAAAATTATTTATAATCAAAATTTTAGTTTTTTTTTTTTTTTACATTTATGAGAAAATAATTAATTGGAATTTACTTCAATTATTTTTATATAAAATAAAATTTTAAAAATTTTATTCAATCCAAATTTTTATGCATATTATTTTATAGTAAAATAATACTTAGAATTTTAAATATTAAAATTGTAAAAATACTTCAAAATATTTAATATTTGAAAATAATACTTATAACAATTATAATGATATTTAGATAAATTAATATTAAACAAAATAAACATATAACAAATTTAAATAAAACATATGATAAAATAAATAAATTTAAATTTAAAAATAAAATTCATATAATCATTTTAAAATGTTTTAAGAAATAAAAAAGAACAATAGGGCATTATGGTCCAAAAGTTTGCGACTGAATCTTGCGATTTCCCACTGCATCCTACAAAGTCCAGTCCTTGACCTAAAAAATGGTCAGATTAATTTCACCAAAAAAATATCATCTAAATAATATCATGATACAATTTAGAGATAAAAAATTGATCAGTTGTGTCAGGAGCATATCAGTTATAATTATTATAATATAATTAATTAATATTAAAATTTAATATTTTATAAAGTCTATAAAAAATTATGTAAAATTCATTTTTAAATAATAAATTTATATATAAAATTTTACTATAATTAATTAATTATAAAATTATAACAAAGACAACTATAGGAAAAATGTTTGTATTTACACCGCATCGATGCTATCTGAGCATCCAAATGCAATAAATCCAAATACGATGTATCCTAAATAATCAGTAAAGTTCACAAGCCCTTGGTCTAATTGTTAAGGTACTTGATGAAACAAGAGGGCTTGATTTGAAGCAAGCTCTCTCCTCTCCTCCCCAATGTATCTTATGAAAAAATGCAATAAAAACATGACAAGTGTCTATAAAAATAATGTCAATTACCCTTTCCGCCTTGTCAATATTGAATGTTTTCCTTCGTTTAACCCATGATTGCTGTGGATCCCATTGATCTTAATGTGGCAAAAGTGACTTTGCATTGTATGGATACATGATGTATGTGACACATCATAATTTAACAAATTAGTTGGGTGTTCAATTTAATTAATAGAAGTAATTTTTGAATATTTAATTTTGTATTTTTCAAACTTTAAATACCAATTCAAATATTTAACTATAATTTAAAATATCCAATGCATAATTAATCATTGTGATATTAAGAAATGATGCATGTGGAAGATAATCCAACAATGCAAGTGGTAAAGGCCTAGTCCAATCTCATTATAGATTAGAGAAAGGAGACATTTTATTAAGACAGTCCGTGATTCAGCAAATGCCAAAGGCTAAAATATTAAAAACACCTTTGAATTATTCTATTTTTCTTAAATAAATTTTTATTTTTTATTATATCTAAATAAATATTTATATTTTAATTACATATAAATAAGTTTTTTTATTTAGATTTGTATTTAAATAAGTTTTTATTTTAAATAAAAATAATTTATATTAAGATTTATTTAATTATAAATTAAAATTTTAAATATTTATTTGAATATAAATTAAAAATTTATTTAGGTTTAAATTAAAATTTAAAATTTTATTTAAATATAAATAATCTAACATATTAAATAATATTTTTAAAATTTTTAAAATTTTTACAAATTTATAATATTTCACATGTATTTAAAATTTTTTATTATTTTATATTAAAATAATAAATATTAAAAAAATTGATCAACCCGATGTAGCGGAAGCATTAAAAGTAATGATCAAAATCGATTCAATACACATCCAATCCGATTCAACCAAGTGTTTAAGCGGTCCAACTGTGTCCGGTTAAAGTGATTCACCAACTGCCGAGAGTTAAAATATTGAAACCGCCTCTGAACTATTTTGTTTTTTTTTTAAATAAATTTTTATATTTTAATTGTATTTAAATAAATATTTTTATTTTTATTTTTATTCAAATAAAATTTTAAATTTTAATTTATATTTAAATAAAATTTTATTTTAAATAAATAATGATTTATATTAGAGATTTACTTAAGTATAAATTAAAAGCCTAAATATTTATTTAAATATAGATTAAAAATTAACATTTTATTTTGGTTAAATTAAAATTTAAACATTTATTTAAATATAATAAAATTTTAAAATTTTATTTAAATAAAATTATAAAATTTAAGAACTTTTTTATTATTTTAATCAATGTGGATTGGGACAGCCACTTCCCGACTGAACGGGTTGTCGACGCTGAGAACAGGACCACCAGCCATTGCAGTCTCTATACCCTACCAACTCCAAGGACAGTTGTGGCCCTTACAATTTCTTCTGGGCTTGGACTTTTTCTATGTTCTATTCAAATCAAACAGAGACATTTTAAAAGACTAAAGATTGAAATCAGGCATCTAAACTTTAATAATTTTCAACTTTTAATGCCACAAAATCTTTAATTATTATTATTTTTTTATATTCTATATGAGAATCACCTTTTAATTTATATAATATAAATGCATCAGTCATGAGAACAAACAAATTTTGGAACATTTTTGAAGACTATAGCTGAGGCTGTTTAAAAATGTGAAATCTGTCTGCTATTAGTTGAGATTTTATCTTGCTTTATTAGGTGGGTATATTTGAAAAAAAAAAAAGTTTACAATTAAATATTAAAGGAATTTTTTACATTACCTTTGTTGTTCTAATTTAAAAAAAAAAATTGACTGATAGAAATTATGCTTTTAACATGCATGTCAAATTTTTAAAAAATGAAAGAAATTGAGCTGATATAAAGGTCTTTGTCAGATTCTTTTTGTTCAGTATCAGTGTTTAAGAGTATTTGATATGAGATGATTCATTTAAAAATTATAGTGATTTACATTTAGTAATTATATTATTTTGGTAACAATTTTAAAATCTTATGTGATAGTGATCTTAAATTACTTAAGTGATAAAATCACTATTTTAGATAGTGATTTGATTCCTAACCAAAATAATAAAAAAATTTTATCACCATGAGAAATGTATTTTTAATATTATTTTTTGACTAATTTACTTAAAGGAAAAATATAGTTAACATTACCCAAGAAGTTGGTTACTAAAAAATTTAAAATATTAGTTTTTTAATTACTTATTCTTAAAAAGTTTTATGTTATAAATTTATATTGATTAGAAAAAAGATAATGAATTTATTTAATAATTTTTTAGAAATTATTTTTATCAAAATTAATTTATATTTTATAGTTTTTTATAAAATAACATTTAATTATTTTATAAATTACTGATTTAATAAATATTAAATATTTTTATTTTTGCAAGATTATTTTAGATATTTTGTATTATATGACTTATTTTTCACATAATACCAAACATAATGATTTTAAAAATCAAAGATTTATAATATTATATCAAATATCATAATCTAAAATCACTAATGATCAAATTATTTGAGTGATCTCATTATCGTAATAATTAAATTAACACGTTAATTTTAAAAATAATAGCAAACGCTATTAAAGTTTGTGATTGTTGCCTTTTGAAAAACAAAATGTAATGTCCAAACCATAGAAAACATCAAATTGTAATGCTAAAGACTTATATAACGAGGGCACAAGCCATAGATGAGACATCTATATATAATTTTGGATGAGACATTTATATATTATTTTAATAGATTTATATTTGATATATTGTAAAAAAAATAATTTTAATTATATTTTTTAGATTAAGTATATTTGTTGTTAGGATTTTAAAATTAATTTTTTAATTAAGTATCATAACATGATTCATTGACAGTGTACAATATTTACAAACTATCATTACATCAAATATAAATTTTATTTTAAATAGAGTAATGATCAATTTATATCAGTATAAAATTTTTTAATTTTATAATTTTTTAACTATTGATTTCAATAGATTCATTTGATAAAATTAAATTAATTTTTTAACTAATCTTTCTCATCTCTTAGATTTATTATGATTAAAAAAATATAAAATTTTTTAATTTTATACTAATATAAACTAATTTTTTTAAAAATAATGTCATGATGAATTACATCATAATTTTTAATTGTCATTGATGAAAATTTTGAATTTCATTAACTATAAATGAGATAATTTTTTTATACATATAATAATATATTGTAATGAACAAATTTGGAAGTAAAAGTTTTGTGCGGTCCTCACGAATCTAGTTTCTCTTCCTAAATCCTAATCAAGCAAAGTTAAAAATAAATATTGATTTTACAACCAGAGACGATTTTGCCAAGTTGGGTGTTGGAAATTGTAAAAAAGTTTTTACTAGAAAAAGTCACGAATATTCCGTGTTGTACTTTCTTGCGATGTTGATTATTTCCAGCTCCTAGAATACTATTTTACACATACCTATGGGGAAGAACTTATCAAATCTTCCCGGAGTTTTCTGGAGAAAAGAAAAAAAAGAAAAAAAAAAATGAAGCCCCACAAATTGACCAAACTCGTTTGGCTCATTCAAAACATAGAAATTGAAATTAAAGTTGTATGCTAAGTCCAATACTTGCTTGGCCGACATTTATTGCAAGACATCATAGCAATCCACCAAGTTCTCATTTATAAGCAAATTTTCTGCTTCCAACTTCCTTATTGTGAGGTTGTTCAGGAATATTTGGAAGAAACAGAAAGCAGGGAAGGGCAGAAACATGGGTAGAAAATTGGATGCTTTGCTTGGAAGAAACTTCAAGACCTCCAAGTTCAGAACTCTTGCTAAACTTGCTACCTCAAGGACTGGTATCCTGAAGAACCAGCATCAAGTCAAGTATTCCCATGCCAGGTCTGATGTAATTGAACTCCTCAACCTTGGTCACCAAGAACAAGCCCTTCTTCGGGTAAATTTTTCACCTCTTTCTTTCCCTTTTGTTGGGTTGTTCTCTTAATTTCTTTGGCAATCTGATGGGGCATTTCTGAACAGGTAGAGCATGTGATCAAAGAACAGAATATGGTGGATGTATTCACCATAATGGAAAGCTATTGTCATCTCTTGATAGAGAGAGTCATGCTCATTCAAAACAACAGGTGAGGTTAATTTTGTCATGCTCATAGTAAATGCTCTTGGGCTGTAACACTTAATTGATATATTTTCAAGCACTAAATGTGCCTGTTTCTGCAATAGGGAATGTCCTGATGAGCTTAAGGAGGCAACATCAAGCTTGATATTTGCATCATCAAGATGTGCAGAATTCCCAGAGCTTCTTCACATTCGTGGGATTTTATCATCAACTTTTGGGAAAGAATTTGTTGCTCGTGCTGTTGAATTACGGAACAATTGCTGTGTACATCCTAAGGTAAGGATCGTTCAATCAGTGCCTGAAGTTAAAAAAACTTTATCAGAATATATACTTGTCCTTATAGTTACAGGTTTCGTGTTCTGACAGATAATACAGAAGCTTTCAACACGACAACCAAGCTTGGAAAGCAAATTGAAAGTGCTCAAGGAGATTGCCTCCGAGGGGGGTATTACCTTGCATTTGGAGGCAGTGGTTGTAGAGGTGAGAAACTTGCAATCAAAAGAAACAAAAAGTTTCTCCAACAAACAAAAAGTTAAAATTTTGATTCTGAAATGACAATATTTGATGACTGCAGGAGAAATTGGATGTCAATGAGAAGCAGAATCAATCCGTTGCTAGTGTATCTGCAAAATTGGATGATCCTGAGCATAAAGATACTGCTTATGATTGGCCTAGAGAAATAAACCTAAATGAAAACTTCTCTGAGTCAATAGAAGCAAGGAAAAAGTACAGAGATGTAGCTGCAGCTGCTCAAGAGGCTTTTGAATCAGCAGCTTATGCAGCAGCAGCTGCAAGAGCAGCTGTTGAACTCTCTAGAACTCAACCTCAAGATTTTGATCCATATGATTAAAGTCGTTAGAGTAATAAAAAGAGAGGCTCCAGCCATACCTGATCCAATAATACCTGGTTAATTTTCCATTGCTGGGACATGCAGTTTCAAAGGGAATTGAGCATTCAAATAATGCATTAGGATTTGAAAAGGATCCTTCCTTTTGACAATCTAGTTCCGAATCAGAGGGTGAAGATGGGGAAAATTCTAACAATGACCCTGACCTGAATGAAATTGAAGAGACCGAACAGAAATTACGGATGAGTTCAGATTCTGATGTATCCATTTCAGCTGAGAAGGAACTGTCTTTGGACCTATTGAGACAGTAAAGATTTGGGTGATGAATTATCTATTGACATTGCTGATAGGGAGAAGGAAAAGGAGGAGACACTATGGCCAAATCCCATGACTTGAGCTCTCATTTAATTACATGAAATAAGCATCCAAGAAATCGGATGCATCTATGTTCTTATTGTGCCTTTTTTTAAATGCCTATATGCCTTTTACCTTCATAAGCAAAAGTAAAAAGAAAAAGTAAGATTTGGATAAATGATCTGAACAATGTTTTTTTTTTTTTTTTTTAAATATTAAAAAAATTTAACAATCATAGATAACACATGCAATGATTTAATTTTTCTATATGAAACAATTATGTTAAATTAGTATTATTTATTCATTTCACAAGAAGTAGGTAGTATTTTGTGTCAATCACTTATTCTTTTAATTATCTGTGATTTGTTTTTTACCAATTTATTGATATTAATCGTTATTTGTTTTTTTTATATTACATAATTGAAATATTTCAATTGAATATCCTATTAATGCAGATGGTTTATGCTATAAAGGTATTATGGACTTCATTTTTAGAGGATGACTTAGTGCAATTTTGTTATTTGGATCGAACTGACATATGAGTCACTTTAAAATTTTAGGATTTATATTAGCTCAACCACCTCAACTTCCCACATAAAGGTATATGAGAATATTGACTTGTCATCCCTTAATTAGACTATTGTCTTTCTTATCAAGTCGGATAAGTTATGTCAATTTTAGAGTTATTACTCAAAGCTGGGGTCACTCAGACCCGATATTCTCACTCTATAAGTATAAATAGCTCTTCACACATCAGGTAGATTCATTCAATTTTTCCTTATCTCTTTTTAAGATTTTTTTTCTTTTCTCTCTTCTCGAGCACTAACTTGAACATTAGAACACAAACGCCAAAGAAACCTCCTGCCTTTGCTTCTAATCAACTTTCAACCTTGTGATTTCATGTTCTTACCCTCATTAAGACAGACAGCTCGATCTCAACATTTTTGGTGCACTAGGTAAAGGTCTTTTATTTATTTAGTTGAGTTAATCATGGCTCTTAGGAAGAAAGTTACTGAATAAAGAGAAAATGCCGCTACAGTTGGAACTGACACCCAACTGAGCCAATAAAACTTTGATCAACCTACACAAGTAGCTCCAACAATGGAACAATTTGAAGCACTCACCCAACAATTACAATCCTTGAAAGAACTAATCATGAACCTAACTCTTCCAAAGACCTTGAAAGAACCAAACCCTACAGCCCTAAGAAACTCACCAACATAGAATGTGCCAACCTACAATATTAGTGCTGCCTCGTTGATCCATGATGAGGATGAAACCCCAAAAATCTATTATCCCATGAACATCCGAACACAAACCACCCAAAAATCCAAATTGGTCACCTTGAAATTGCAACCCAACAAAGATTTAGGAGCTTGAATGGAGGCAACGGAGAAGGAACTTAAGAACAAAGTCTCCTCCTTTGATGAGGAGCTTAAGTTCTTGAAAACATCCCCATTTACTAACATCAACCAAGCACTACTACCAAAGGGGTTCAAGATGCCTACACTTGAAACTTACGATGATACCACTGATCCTTTCGGCTACTTTGAGTTTTATAAAACTAACATATTAATAAAGGGAGTCCATAAGCCTCTTATGTGCAAAAGACTTGCTACAACTCTCAAGGGGTATAAAAATAAATCATAAAACACCATGATAATTCTATAAAATTAGAGAATTATCAATTAGAGCGGTGATGTGTATAACTTTTTTAGGTTCGTTGGGTTTTGGGTAAGCAAGTGGATCATGTTTGTAGCAGCTATTTTAGTGATAAAAAAGATGGATTTGAGATATTTGGGTTATTGTTTTTGGTTTATTTCGATAGGATTTATTTGAGTTTTGGTTAATAAGGTTTAGGGTTGGAAAATCTTCTATGAATCATCTATTAAAAAAATACTAAGGGTTTATATTTATTAAATTGATTGTATTTTTTGTTGTTTATGTTGAATTTTCTTTTATAGCTGATTATTTTAATTTATTATACAGGTATAATAGAAGTTGCTAGTAATGATGTAATTTTTTTGGTTAATTTTTGGCAGAACCTAAATAGATATGGCTTGCATTTGTCTTAAAATAAAAATGCTTAATGCCAAATGAATACCTTTTTACAACTTATGTCTTAAAACATCTATTTTGACAAGATTATTAATATTAATTAGATACATAGCTGAATCGAATTATTTGGATTTTTTTAATACTTGAATTGTTATATTTCTTTATGTTTAATAATTTATTAAAAAAATTTATAAAAAAAAAACAAAAACAAAACAGGCATAGCGAAGCAAAGACATCATACTAATTGCATATAAAATGATCGCATCCAAGATACCCCAGACCACCTTAATACCTCCTCTTCTTCCGGAAACCAAGTCGCCAAACACATTTCAAAAGGAAGCCTGTTAAGGACTTGCCACATGTCAAAAAGAAAAAATTATCCTTTAATATATTTTTCTTTCGGCCGCTACCGGTGGAAGACTGACGTTTGGTGGTCTATTCAATATGATGATGCATTGCATAATGCGAAAATCCGATAATTATTATTTTTCTAAAGCAGGTAAGGCCGGTTGATTTTAGTCTTACTTCTATTTCTCAGGTTGGACTTTTGGTATGTGCCCGTCCCACTCTCCCCCTATCTTGCTTAACCAACTATAAAATTTATATATTTCACAAGTTTCTAGAGCTCATGACACTGTTTCTATTATAATATATATAATTGATAAATAAATAAATAAAATATTAAATGATCGTGTATCAAATTTTTAATTTTGTTTGTAAATTTTAAAAATTTTAGTATCATGTATATAAATAATCTTTGACTAATTATATATGAATATTAATGTTACAACTAAGAAAGTTAAAATTTATTGTTAATTGGTGTTATCTCATATTGTTAGTTTTTTATTTTTTTGTAATTTTATATATTTAAGTTGGATTTTTTTATCTATTAACAATTAATTTTATATTAAATACTTAACATAGTATCAAATTTAAAGTATTATTTTTTTTTTTACTTACTATCCTCTTTATGAGTTTATCATGTTATAAGCTTCTCTATTTTTGTTTTACTTATGAAGAGATTATAAAATTATATTATGACATATCTGTTAACTTTTGAATTCTTTATTGTTTTATATTAACTCGTATATATTCACTTTTTATTAATTGATTTTAAATTTGAAACTTAAGTTTTATCACGTTGAAATTGTTTCATTATGTCTTACATCATTTGAAGCTTATGTTGAATTTGATATATATCATTATTTTTATTAGACATTTTTAATTTATATAAAATTAACATAGTGATATATTATCGTCAGAATTATTATGTACTAATTTTCTTTTTATATTTTGTAATAAATGAAATTAAATTACGTAATTTCTTTCATAACCAATTTGAAGTACAAAAACTTCACATCAAAATGAGAGAATGAGAAACGGACAAAATATAAAAAAAAAACGTCCATAAATATTAGTCGGGGCACAGAGTTGTCATCCATCATCCATGAGCAAACGTATGGGTCCTCTACGTGTAAAAATTGAAATCCCTTTTTTATTTTTTTCTGATGAAAAGTTGAAATCCTATTTAAACAATGCTTAACTTCTTTTTCTAATCATCCTACCATTCCATCAATTTAAGTTTCTTTCCTTTTACCATTTTGCTTGATATACATTATACCGCGTCAATGGATATCATCTGCTTCCGTTTGCTTTCGGTGTTGCTACTGCAATGTTTAATGGTTAGCTTGACCGTGATTGGGAGTAATCTCACCACTGATCAGTTTGCACTTCTCAGTTTCAAAGACCATATCCTTGATCCTCACAGTTTCTTGTCCAGTAATTGGTCCACCAATACCTCAGTCTGCCAGTGGATTGGTGTTTCATGCACTGTCCGCCATGGAAGAGTCTCTGTCTTGGATCTTTCAGACATGGGTCTTAATGGAACTATCGATCCAAACATAGGAAATCTCTCTTTCCTAGTCTCACTTAACTTGAGCGGCAACAATTTCCATGGCAATCTACCCAAAGAATTGGTCAATTTGCGTCGCTTGAAACTTATTGATTTGAGTTACAATACTTTCAATGGGGAGATTCCTTTATGGTTTGGAGCTTTAGATAAAGTTGAATACTTGGTTCTCAGTAACAATAACTTCACAGGTACAATTCCTAAAACTCTTGCCAACATGTCGAACCTGGAGACCTTGGACTTGGGTAGCAATTTGATCCATGGAAACATTCCGTATGAGATTGGTGATCTTCAAAAGCTGAAGATATTTTTCGTTCAATTCAACCAACTGTTTGGCCCCGTACCTTCAAGCATCTTCAACTTGTCTTCGTTGCAGTCGATTTCTTTGTCATATAATACATTATCTGGTAGTTTACCAGATGATATGTGTTATCATCTCCCTGAGCTGGAGGAGTTTATATTGACTGCGACGATTGGAATTTCTGGCTTTATTCCATCAAGTATAGGTGAATGCAGCGAGCTTCAAGTTTTTACTTTGTACAAAAATCGATTCAGTGGGATCATTCCAAGAAGTGTTGGGAATTTAACTAGACTTAAAGGACTATATTTGGGTGAAAATAATTTGGAAGGTAAGATTCTACAGTAAATTTTTCAGCTTAAATATTTGGTTTAGTCTTCTCCATAATATTTTCCAATTTTTATTTCAAATCCATGCTTCAAGGCTTTCATATAAATATAAATATATATATATATATATATTAATTCTTATCATGACTCAAATTTACCTGCTTCAATTTTCTTTAAGAATTAATATTAAATTAATCACAATATATATGAGTTATTGGAAGTCCATACTATCTTAAGTTATATATATATATATATATATATATATATATATTAGAATTGATCTTTATTTTTAAGTTGTTTTGCTTGGTTTCAAACCCATGATAGAAGTAGTAATGTGCCTTTCAGTAATTTTTAGTGAGTAGGCATGCATGACATTTTGGCATCATGGTTTTTTTTTTTTTTTTTTTCATTTTTCTTTGATTACACATGCAACTTTCATTAGATTTTCCTTCTTTTATTTTCTTTTCATCCTTTGAATTAGTTTTTAAAAAAAATTTTTGCAACTTTTGTTTTATTAATTTTAAGGATAACTTTTCTTTAGATTTCAATTTGTGTTTAGTTCTTTCATATGCAATAGGAATTACAATGTTTCAAATTTATATATATTTTTAATAGAAAAAGAATTAATACTTTTTTTTATGCAATTAATTACTATTTATTTGAATTTTGAATACATTTTACTATTTTTTATCAAATCTTTATTATTTCTATATTTGCGAATTATGATTAAGCATATATGATTTTTTCTTGGTCCCTCCAAAAGTAAAATTCTGGTTTCGATAGCCTCTGTTTTCTTAACAAGCAATCTAGTAGAGACATGATTGGGGCGATGGCAATGTTGCTAGATTGGTGGAAGAGGTCTTGTAATTTTGACTCTCATCATGTGTTGCTATTGCAGGTGAAATCCCTTTGGAAATCGGTAATCTTCGTGTCTTGGAGATTTTTGTAGCAAACAATATGAGACTCAATGGCTCAATTCCGGCTTCTATCTTCAACATTTCTTCTCTCAAAGAACTTTATCTCTACAACAATAGTCTATCAGGTAATGCTCCAAATAATCAAGAGCATTGGACTTTGGAGAATGTTTTAGATGTTTTAGATTTTTTTTTTTTTTTTGGTCTAAGCCAAATGATTTGTTAGAGATAACTCGGGGTGCAAAAAGGAGAATAAACCTTGTCTCACCAAGATCCGGAATATAATTAGAGAAAACAAAAGGAATCTAAAAAATCACAATTTCCTAAACTAGCCAATATCAAACAGCAAACACCATCATCTGCAAGCCAAGCCATCGAAAATAAAATTTCACAAAAAGACAAAACCTGACGCCAGCTGTGATCAACATAAACTACACAATTCACCTACCTTATTTATACTTCTCAAACAAAAACTCCATGAATACCCAGATTCTCTTAAGTTGCTGCTGCTTTCATTCCTTCAAATGTTGCCTCCATGACGCCGCATTCTGTTATACTCTGTGAACTAATCAGCTGCAATTAGAGAGCAAAGTGATAATATCCTCCTGTTGATCCAAGGTCATCTATCCACTTTAAAGAGCTGTTTGAACCAGAAGAAACCCCTTCTATATATCAGGTTCCCCTATTAACTCATCCTTCATGTTTTCCTTCAAAGGGACTTCATGTATTACTTCCTGTAGATTCATCAATTGCTCTTCTTCCCATTCAAAAAGCTGTCTTCTCAATAGGATATTCCATTCTCCTAAGTTGTGATTAAAAGCATCAGCCACTTTGCAGACCATCATCACCGCCAATGAAAATAGTCTAGGAAAGACCACTCTTAGGGGCTGTTCTCTACAATCCACTTCTCAATTCATAAAAGAATGTTTGCTCCATCCCCAATGATCCATCAACATCCCCTTAAACCAATCAGCTCCATGGACACTTTTAAAGTTCACAACTCAAAAAACATTAGACATATTCTCAGGATGTGACTGAGAAGGAGCCTTATTCAACACCCCTTTTCCATGCATTTTTCTCCTCCATTAACCTGAAATACCATGACACATCTCAGGATGTGTCAAAACAATTAAATTCATTCATTCATGCATTAACCATCAAGTATTCTCACACCACACAAATAAATTTCCAACCAATATGCCCAGATAAGGACTGCAAGGCCACCATAGATAGCATTCAAGTCCTCCAAGCTAATAAAAATTCTATACTGGTAAGAAGCCAGAAAAAGTATATCCATAACTGCATCACAATTTTAAATAAATCACCCCATTATTCCATCTCCAAAACAATTAAACTTCTTTGCCAGAATAAAAACCTTCACCCTGATCTCCTTCAAATACAAAACTGCTTCCAGCAATACATAATAGTCATGCTGGAGTAACTACAAAAGCAGTAAAATATCTTTCAAAGTTGACCACCAAGCATAATCATCCTTACTTGCAAACCCCTCAATTATTTTAAACCCCTTTTGCAAATGTTTTAAAAACGCACCCTCCACATCAAGTCATCAACTATAACAAGGCAAAATATATAGATTTTAGTCCTATGTAATCTCTAACCATACCACACAAATTTACCATGGAAAGCAAAACCGGTAGTTCACATTTCTAGAAAAAATAAGAAATGTTTTAGATTAGAGTTACATAGAATAGATAAATGCATGAGTTTAATTTTAATTATGTAAGGCCGAATTTGGCTGTTATTTTTGTTGCTTTATGCTTCTTGAAAGTTTTTTTTTTTTTTTAATGTAAATTAGATCACACTTAATTAAAGTGGAGAAATCACTAAAATGATTTACTTACAAATATATCTTGTATTTGTTACCTAAAAAATTATACATTTGATATAATTCATCTAAAATGTTGTTTTCCTTTAATTAGTTATATCCAAATGCATATTTCACTTGTTTTTTACTTCATGGTTATATATGTATAGATTATTGTCTTCAGACTTACAGTCGTTAAGAGTTTGTGTTTCTCCTTACTCCCAATATACTTATAACATATGTATAGATTATTGTTCTGAGACTTACAGTGGTTAAGAGTTTGTGTTTCTCCTTACTCATAACATATGTAAAAGCCAAAGCTCATTTGCAGAATGCTGTTAAACTGAAAAGGAAGGCAATCCCTTTCTTTTTTGTAACTCAAATTTGCCTTTTTTTTTTTTTTTTGAAGGTACATTACCATCCATGAGCTTGGTTTCAAATCTTGAGACGCTTGTCGTATGGGGTAATTATCTCAATGGAAATATTCCCGACTCTATCTCCAATGCTTCAAAGCTTAGAATTCTAAGCTTGAATCTAAACTCGTTCTCTGGCTTTATTCCGGATGCACTTGGCAATTTAAGTTTCCTTGAGGAGTTACGCCTTTGGTCAAACCATTTGACCACCAAACCTCCAAACCATGAGTGGAGCTTTCTTTCTTCATTGGCAAATTGTAAGAATCTAACACTCTTAGAGCTATCATCAAATCCCTTGAATGGCATTCTTCCGGCTTCCATCTCGAATCTCTCTGCATCACTTGAAGAATTTGAAGTTCATGATTGCAAAATTAAAGGTAGCATTCCTATGGAAATCGGTCGCTTAAGCAACATTATAGTTTTAACTCTTTCTCAAAATGAACTGAGTGGATCTATTCCAGCAACAATAGGAGGGCTACAAAATGTCCAAGGTTTGTATCTTAATGATAATCAATTACAGGGCTCTATCCCATACAATATTTGTCAATTGGAGAGATTAAGTGAATTAGCATTGAAAGGAAATATGCTTCAAGGACCTATTCCCACGTGTTTGGGTGATTTGACTTCTCTGAGAGGTTTATACTTGTATTCCAACAAACTGCATTCTACAATACCCTCCACCTTTTGGGGTCTTAAAGATCTTTTGCGGGTAGACTTATCATCAAATTATCTTAGCGGTTCACTTTCACTGGATATTGGAAATCTGATGGTACTAACATATTTGAATTTGTCAATGAATCTATTATCAAGTGATATTCCAATTACAATTGGAGGTCTCAATGGTCTACAAACTTTGTCCTTATCTAGCAATAGACTACAAGGTCCAATTCCAGAATCATTGGGTGACTTGACAAGTTTGGTGACTTTGGATTTGTCTGATAATAATTTGTCTGGAATCATTCCCAAGTCTTTGGAAAGACTTTCATATCTTAGATACTTTAATGTGGCTTTCAATAAATTGGAAGGAGAAATCCCTACAGAAGGATGCTTCCAAAACTTGACAGCTGAATCATTCATCAACAATTATGCACTTTGTGGTTTACCAAAATTACAAGTCCCTCCTTGCAAAAGTAGCACCCATCGACTATCAAAAACGACCCATGTTTTGAGGTATGTTTTGCCAATAATTGCTTCAATTATAGTGATAGTCACCTTCATTATCATCTTTAAACAATGCTGGAATGGAAGTACAAATATTTCAATTAATGAAGGTTTAACTCTTGAAGTACGGAGTACAAATTTGTATAATAGACTTCTTCAAGCTACTAATAATTTCAGTGAAGACAACTTGCTTGGTTCTGGAAGTTTTGACACGGTATACAAAGGAATACTTTCTGATGGGAAGAATGTTGCGATAAAAGTTTTTAATTTGCAGTTGGAAGGGGCATTTAAGAGTTTTGATGTTGAATGTGAAGTGATGCAAAATATACTTCATCGCAATCTTGTTAAGGTCATTAGTTATTGCTCTTGTGTTGATTTTAAAGCCTTAATGCTTGAATTCATGCCTAATGGAAGTCTCGAGAAATGGTTATATTCTCACTATCATTTCCTAGATATCCTACAAAGAATCAACATAATGATCGATGTTGCATCAGCTTTGGAGTATCTCCATTTGGGACATCCAAACCCTGTAATCCACTGTGATCTAAAACCAAGCAATATCTTACTAGATCAGGACATGGTAGCACATGTGGGAGATTTTGGCATTGCCAAATTGTTGGGAGATGGAGAGTCTGTGAAACAAACCATGACATTTGCTACAATTGGATATATGGCACCAGGTAATGTATAATTTTAGTTTCTCGTTAAGTTTTTGTTTTTATATGTTGAATTAATTCAATTACGCTTAAAATGCAGAATATGGATCAACCGGAATTGTTTCCATCAAAAGCGATGTCTACAGTTATGGTATTTTATTAATGGAAACATTCACAAGAAAGAAGCCCACAAATGAACTTTTTGTTGGAAATATGAGCTTGAGCCTATGGGTAAAAGAGTCACTATCTAATGATATAATTGATGTTGTGGATTCTAGCTTATTGCAGACAGAAGAAGAACATGTTATGGCTACGACGAATTGCATATCATCTATTATGAAGTTAGCTTTGGATTGTGTTGTTGAGTTGCCTGAAGAACGAATAGACATGAAGGATGTTGTTTCCGCTCTTCAAAAAATCAAAACAAAGTTTTTGAACAATGTTAGGCAAGCTTAAAATGTAAGGTTTATATATGGGTATTAATATATATATATATATATATGTATAGATATAGTTGAAGAATGTTGAAAATGCTAATGTATAAGTTATTTGACTTCATCTAAGACAACTTTCCCTTAAGCGTTAAACTTTTTTTATAGACTTAAGGCTACAACCACATAATACAAATTTTACGTTGATAATCATGGTTACCTCTATTACTTTTCTATCCTAGATTTTCTGTAGAATCTCACAAAACAAGGTTTTTGAATTTCATTGAATAATTTGACTCTTGTTTTGCAATGTTAAGTTTTTGAATGGACAACTCTGGCTTGTATTTTACTCATCTAAGTTTATGAATTCCTATTACATATGGGCAGATTGACTTCTTCCATATATAATTCAATGTGTATCATTTCTTCTTTTTTGGTTAACTATGCACAAAGTATCTGGTTTTCAATATTGAAGTTATGATCATAATACAGGCATGTGAAAAGCTCGTTGAATTTCATTTTTATGTAATTGTGGTTAGAAATTTATTGTATAAACACTACAAGAAAATAACGTACTAATGGCAATTTTGTAGCAGCTTTTCATTTACAAACACCGCTAGCTTTCGTATTTTTATAAAACTTAAAGCGTTTATTATCAAAACACCATTAAATATTCAAACAGCAGCGTTGTTACTTATAAACGCCACTAAAGACTTGATATTAGCGGTGTTTCTTGACTAAAAAGCCTTGAATAATCATGCCTTAAAATTTTCAGTGAATACTAAAGACGTTTTTGGTAGAAAATGCCTTGAATAATCTAGTTAAAAAAATTGATAGAAAATTACTGAAGGCGTGTTTTTGACAGACAACGCCTTCAATAATTGCTTCATAAAAAATTATATGAGATTATTGAAGGCGTTTTTACAAGAAACACCTTCAATAGTTGGATAAAACAATTCCACAGGTTTATTGAAGTCATTTTTGTTAAAAAAAATGCCTTCAATAAATATCATATCAAAATTTTTTGATCGTACGGATGTTAACCATAAAGTGGTAGGTTCAATCCCTCTCTTTAGCCTTTTTTAGGTTTTTACAGAGATTATTTGTAATTGATTATTGTAGGTGTTTTCTTGACAAAAATGCCTTCACTAATACCTTAAAAAATTTTTACAGAGAATATTGAAGGTGTTTTTCGCAGAGAAACGCTCTTAATAATCCATAGGAAAAATATAGAGCCGATTTTTAAAGGTCTTTTTGATCGAACTCGCATTTTATAATCCAATCAATAAATTTTTGTTGTGATTATTAAAGGTGGTTTTTGTGAAAAACGTCTTCAATAATCCATAAACAAAAGTTGAAACGAATGCTTGAAGGTGTTTGGCTTAAAACGCCTTTAATATTTCAGACAATAAATTTAAATGATTGAAATATTGAAGGCAGTTATTTCCAAAAACACCTTCAATAACATTTTGTTATGGATTATTCAAGGTATTACCCATAGGAAAATGCCCTTCATAATCAATTTGATTAATTTTTTGTTGATATTATTGAAGGCGATTTTTTAAAATGCCTTTAATAATCCAACAAAAAAGTTGAAACGGATTCTTAAAGGCATTTTGTGCCGAAAACGCCTTTAATATTCCACACAATAAATTTTTGGAAGAATTATTGAAGGTGATTTTGGTAAAAAACGCCTTTAAAATTTTCTGTTAGGGATGATTCAAGGTGTTTTCTTGCTAAAAACGCCTTCATTAATCCCATCAAAAAATTATATTTGAGATTGTATATGTTAAGTCAGTTATAGGTTTATGCCCAAAAAATGTTTACTGTTAGTTATATATTTATGTCCAGAAAACATTTGGTTTATATATGTGATACTACAAATTACATTTTGAAATTTACATAATGAACATTGTTGTTTTTCAATAAATTGATCACACATGTGAAATTAAAACTAATAAGCTCCCATATTAATATACTTTTTTGAAATAATCGTACTCAATAATTTATGAACTACACATAGTGTATTCATATTAAGTATAACAATAATATTAAACCAATACCCTAATGTACAAACTTAAAGTTTCAATTCAACATGGCATGTCAAAAACATTATAACAATTTTTTCTTATATATTTACATTCAATCAACAATGTCTAACCTGAAGGTTTATCAACATTGATAAATGATAATACATAATTACACCATTCTTTACGGACTTCATCCAGTTCTTCTTTCGTGAAGCTTTTTTTACTCTCCCATTAAAAAAAATAATTATCAGAAGTAAATGTTGAGAAATGAGAACATAATGTACCTTTTATTTTTTAAAAATATAACAAGTTTATGAAATTGATACTAACCTTGAATGGTGTGGTCATAAAATCATCTAACACTATCTCCCGCCTAAAACAAAGGACATAATATTTACATTCAGTATTACCGAGTTGACGAGGTACCTGAAAATTAAATTGAGTGGGTTTAGGAAACATTTATCTATATAAACTCAGCATAAAAGAATATATTTCACATTTACCGGTAATGACACCCTTTTTGGTTTCTTTATTTTCTTATCGAATGCAGATATTACCCTAAATTGAAAAGAAAAAAATTACTTAATACATAAATTAAGTTACTTATGAAGAAATAGAAGATACATAATATAATAAAGTGTAATACTTCTTTATAAAAGTTTGAATATCCAGGTTAGGCATCGTCGTTGGTTTAACTGAATTAAATAAGTATGGCATTAAGGATTTGGTGTCAATCACAATAAGCACCCAATGACGACTACAAAATAATAATAATGATATACTCAAATTACGCATCAGATTGATTTAGGTAAGGTTGGAATATAACTTACTGTGCATTATACGGGAGCAAATAATAATCAGCCGATCTTTTCATGCATTGGGATTACATGATTAGCACGATAAATGATTGTGCCACTCTACTCACTAATGAAGTTGGGGTTAATGAATCTAAAGCTAGTGGTCAACTATCTCCCTTTGAGCTCTCTATATAGGAAGCTGCGCGATAACAATCAACACTACTAATTAGTATCACACCCTAATATAGATTACTGCATATTGAATATGCATATTTGTATTTATAAGCTAATCTCATATAAGCAACTATATCAACAGCTGATAATTCATTTAGTTCACAAAATTTTTTAATCTCTTTCACACGAATGAAAAAAAATGATGGTTTATCAAATAACCCTTCCTCAGACTCAATGGTTATGAAGTTTTCTCCAGATAAATGCTTCAGCGAATATTTGGATAACTCATCCATGAAAGCCTGAGTAAGGGTTATACTGTGAGTCCGAACATCCTACTACAATATTTAATGGAATATAAGTATTAAAACCAAATCAATCAATATAATAAACAAATTAATATTGAAATTATAAAAAATATCATACTTCTTGGGTGGTAACAGAAGATGAGCTTGCTTCCTTACTTATAATGGAAGCTTCTCCTACAGGGACAATACTATCAGACCTGCCTACTGGCATGTTATGCTGCATTGTTGCCAACATGGACTCCAAAGCAGCAAGTTTTTACTGTTGCTCTTGGTTTTCAATTCATTGCTGTTGTTGCTCAATGATTGCTTTATATTATGCATTTCTCATTCACGAAGTTTTTTGTTGATTACCGAAAAACTTTGATGGCAAGATAAATTTATCAACCTATGAACCCAACTAGGCCTTTCTTTAGCGCCTAATGCTAAAGACAAAAGATCTTCGCCATATTGGGTTACCAGTTCACCAGATTTGACTTTGGTAGTATAATCATCCTGAAAAATAATAATAAGATGGGCTATAACAACAAATCTATACAAGCTAGTATACACTCATGCATACAACCACAATGCTAATGATACATTATATTAAAAAAGTAGTTATACATACAATTTTTTTTACCATTTCCTCACTTGCTTTATCTGTAAAGGATCCATCTTTCCGTAGATGTCTTTGTTTTCAGACATCCCATATGAAAACTTCTATGCCAAAACTCATTAATTCTTATTAAATTACTATAATTAAAGAATCAGAATGTATGAAATGAATGTTCATAAATATTCATTAATGAGTATAAAATAAGTGTGCGAATACATATAAGCTCATACTTCACATTTGCATATCCCTTTTCTCGCTATTCGATGGTGATATTGTTGTTTGGCTCGGATGTCCCGTTGGTATTCTTTGATTTTTTACAAAAGAAAGAAATTACGTCAATCACATATAAAGATCAAAGGCTATATTGCATAAAGACTTATAAATAATTTTTTTGGTAATAGGTTTGCATACTGAGAAATCTTCTGAATATCGATATTAAACAAAATTTTTCAAATCTTCAACACTATGACATATGCATATGCCGTAGGTGGAATAACCAATACATCACCTTCACCAGCTAGTGGTAAAATATATTGGGTTGTCAATCTGCTTTTAAAGTTTCTGAATGCTTTCCCAGCAGATTGCAACACAATCTTTTTACAGTTAATTAGGACGTCAAACCGTTCCTAAATAAGTTAACACAATTAGTATGAACACATTGAATTTCAATTAAATGATCATTTAACAAATTTTATGAAATAGTTGAATAAACATACCACAATCGATTGCCATATCTCATCCTTTAGATCATCAGGAACTTATCGCCAATCGATGTATGTAATTGAAATCCTACAATGGACGACGACTCCAATATGAGTAGTCATCTTGGCAGCTTCTTCAGACACAGGCTACCCACTTCGATTGAAGTCAACATGAATTTTTATCTCTCATTTTAATTTGTTTAGTTAGGCCTCTTCTCTTTTTTTTTTGGCCTACAGGTGTGTCTTGTGCATGTTCATTAAAGGAGAATAATGTTGTTCGGAGTCCATAATACCTACAATCTTGATCATAATTATATGAATTACACAATATGATCGTCTAAATTTAACACTGTACATAATTAAATACAACAAATACCATACTACGCATAGAAACACCATTCAGCACACTAATCAGTAATATGCTTAGACACACCCT